AATATAGAAAGATAAGAAGGAAGATAGATTTGTTGAATAAACAGGGGACACGCCACCATTGTTTCTCACTCCCGCAATTACAGGGGGGCTCTCATCTTTCGCTTTCTTTACCCCCGGCCTGTCAGCACCGCCACCTGTTCCCTCTGCAGATTTTCCCCACTCTCTCTTTATACTAACCAACTGCTTTACAGCTCCTTCGTTTTCATCCATCCTAAACATTTATGTATGCATCATCTACAATTAAATTATACATACACCACCACCACCTTCTTTTGGAAGTTTCAACAGCTGATTTTTGATGAAAAAAGCTACTCTTTCAGTCGTACTCCTCTACACTCACCATTTCTCTGAAAAAGCTCTACTTTTTTCAGACTGATAGAGAGAGAGAAAGAGAGAAGTTTTTACCAGTGGGTGGGGGTTATAACTTATAGCGTCTTTTTGTGCTCATAATGTTGATGAAATAGTGTTTGTGATTGGTCGAATTAGGAGGTTTGATTTTAGTGTTGATTTGGGTTTGGATTCTGTGATGATGTGTGGCTTAATTGATCTGAACACCATTAACGACGATACTGACGAGGTTCCGGGGTCGTTGGTTCTTGATTCTCCATCCTCGTCGGATTCGTATGCATCTCCGGCGTCGGAGTTGTCTCTGTTGTCGTCTTCTCCGGTGCTCTGTAGTTTGGAGTTGTGGCACGCGTGTGCTGGACCTTTAATTTCGTTGCCGAAGAAAGGGAACGCCGTCGTTTACTTCCCACAAGGTCACCTAGAACAACTACGCATCTATGATTCTCCGGCCATCTCCGGTGTCCATCTCCCTCCCCACGTTTTTTGCCGTGTCACCGACGTTAATCTTCACGTAAGCTATACGATTAGGGTTTCTTATTTACTTTTCCTGAAAAAATAAACCGATTAAGGTCACAGATTTACAGGTTATACTCATTCATCTGTTAACTTTTTTGAATCAGGCCGAATTAGGATCCGACGATGTGTATGCTCAAGTTTCACTGATTCCCGATGTTCAGGTCAGGTTTCCTTTCGATTTACCTCCATAAAACGATATCTTCTGGTTCTTGAATCTTGACTAGGGTTGAATGACTTGAATCTCACAGCTGGAGAAGAAATGGGGTGAAACAGAGGTTGAAGAAGACGACAACGGAGGTCTCGATGAAAAACCATCAACACCACACATGTTCTGCAAAACTCTCACTGCTTCCGATACCAGCACCCATGGCGGATTCTCTGTCCCACGTCGGGCTGCAGAAGATTGCTTCCCTCCTCTGGTATTTCTTCTACAGTTTTCTTCCTAAAATGGCGGCATTAATCATTATCATCATGTTCGCATCTGATAAACCATTAATCCTACAGGATTATAAACAACAAAGACCCTCACAAGAGCTTGTAGCTAAAGATCTCCATGGAACCGAATGGAAGTTCCGCCATATCTATCGAGGTATAATCGGAATCTTTTATACCTTCGTTTTATGATAGTTATTAACTTATTATTTTCCGGTGACTTTTACAGGCCAACCACGGCGGCATCTGCTAACCACCGGTTGGAGTGCTTTTGTGAACAAGAAGAAGCTTGTATGTGGAGACGCTGTTCTTTTTCTCAGGGGTGATGATGGGGTACTCAGGTTGGGTATCCGGCGATCTGCACAAATAAAAACCGCACCTTGTTTTCCGGCGACCTACCGCCACCAATTAAACGATTTCACCACCGTCGTCAACTCCATATCTCAGAGAACTGTCTTCAATGTCTCCTACAACCCAACCGCTTCTTCCAGGGGTGGCGTATCAGAATTCATTCTACCATATCATCGGTTTCTGCAGAGTGTTCTTCCCAACAAATTCTCGCCTGGAATGAGATTTAATCTTCGCTTTGAAACAGAAGATGCAGGGGAGAGAAAAAGTACAGGGATGATAACTGGGATTAGCGATGTGGATCCTGTCAAGTGGCCTGGATCGAAATGGAAGTGTCTAATGGTGGGTCTTTAATTTTGATGATCATCTTCATTTTCTTGCTTTTCCGATGGGTTTTATTTATTTATTTATTTATTTATTTGTCTTGATATATTTTCAGGTGAGGTGGGATGGTGTGGAAGCTACAACAAGGCAAAACAGAGTTTCTCCATGGGAGATTGAGCGGTGTAACTTGGTTTCCGGAGCCGAGAGTAATTTGTCACCCATGGCCAAAAGGATAAAGACTGGTTTTCCGCCCATTTTTCACGTGCCCGAAGGTATGAGAATCATTTCTTTATTCTTTTATCTAAGAAAATGCAAAAAATAGGGTTTAGCGTAGTTGGTTTTGTGGTGATGTATTGGTTTGGAGTCTCAAGTGGGCCCTCAAGTCCCTCTTGTATACTTGTAGAAATGGTCAAAAGTTCCAGTCTGAGTGATTAAGAGTTTCAATTTCAATGTGAATTGAGCTCTTATGTGTTGTTGCATACTTGATCTACATCCCACGTGATGCTTCTTAGGGTATGTTTGATATGTCTTTTATTGCGTCTGTAAAAGCCCGGTTTTGATTCTGTCAGATTCAGATTGTTTGATATCACACATATAAATCTGTCTCGGTCAAATGCCTCTTACTCGGTCAGATTCACACTTGCGCCAGGCCTTCAGGTGTTGACCCAATCAGATCTAACTCAATCAGCAACTATCAAACATCTAGGGATTGCAAGAAGAATAACCAATTTGCTGAAAATGTGAAAAATGTTAACCTATTCCTCATTTCTTACAGATGTTGCAAAAGGAGCATCGGACTTTGAGAAATCTATGAGATTTCAAAAGGTCTTGCAAGGTCAAGAAATTTTCGGTTATAATCATATATCCTCATTAAGGAACAATCTTAACAACCTCATTGGCATAGGCTATAGTAACCCGTTCCAATTCAACGAGGTCTTGCAAGGTCAAGAAATATTTTTGAAACCACAATACGGGCACTCTCCCATTTCACCTTACAAAAATGCAATCCCTCAATATCCTTTCTCAAATCCTATAGACATTCCCCATAATTTAAAGGCACCCAATTTCCCCGGGCCATATTTCGGGCACCATAATAGCCATAACCAACATGCTCCATCAGAAATCAGGCAACAAGAATCGGTTTCAAAGTGTAAAGATAGTTGTAGACTCTTTGGTTTTTCATTGACCGAAGGTTTGACTCAACCTGCAACAAGTTACGTTAAGAAAGGTTCTCTTCTTGTAGATGATGAGGAACAAGTGAATTCAAAAAGACACCATGAACAAACAGAAGCTTGGGGAGCATTTTCAATGGCTGGTATTGGTAATGTGGTTGAGTTTTAGAAAAGGTTTTTTTGTATGGGTAGGTAGGTGTAGAGAAGTTATGAGTAATAGGAATGTTGAGGTAGGAATTGCAGCCTAAAAGCAAAAGGGCTGCTAAAAGTTTGTATTTTGATTTGAAAAGTTATGTTTAGAATTTTCATCGTTCCTTAAACTTGAATTAACATATAATTCAAATGTTTTGAGATTTCTTAAACAAGACAAATAAGAGAGACTAGAATGTTTGTTTTCTTGACGTTGACCACTATTGGCAATAGCATAATTTGGGTACATCGTTTGTTTGGGTTTTCTTCCCTAAAGAGTATGTATACTCGATCAGTATTATTAAAGTATTCCAACAAAAAATATTCCTAATGTAGCGAGAGCATTATACTACTAAATATATGTTGAAATAAACTTATGGTAGATATAAGTAAATTATTTTTTTGGTTTGCGTACAATCATAAGACCCGAAGAGAAATAAAGAATATATATAAGAATTTATGTGGCTCTCATAATCGAGAGTTAATCATGCTATATCCACATGTAAACTAGAAAGATTATTAGAAATAACTCTTAATATGATAACTATTGTATCTTTTTTATTTAGTCTAGTTATCTTATCAATGTATATCAATGTTTGGTGAGTTCGGTGAATGTTGTTAATATCAACTTAGGATTACAAAACTAATTTTGAATTTTGTAGCTCATACGACAATTTGATATAAATGTGATTATGTTTCTTTCTTTGTGGCTACATGAAGAATATTTTATATTTCGATGATTTTATAACTTGATGTATATTTAAAAATACTATCTACAAAATCCAACATAAAAAAAAAAAAAACACCTCCCCATCTTTAAATATTTTGAATTCTATATTTTTGGTTATTGATCTGGATTTCTTGAAAGAATTTGAAGATTCAATTTCCAAAAGGAAATAACATATCAATGAAAACTCAAAATCATAAACCTAAAACAAAAAACCATTTTAAGCAGTTTTTTTTTAATATATATTAGTTTGAATATTTTTGTTGTAAAAATCACCTGGGTAGGGTGAATGCTTATTTAATGCCACTATTGTATTGTGAGAACTATTATTTTAATATCGCGGTTCACGATCGATATTTTTTTTTACCGTGATACCAAGGTATGTTACACCAATAATAAAATTTATTTTTTTTATTAGCGTATGACATGACAATTAATGAAAATCTTTAACCAGTTGTGATAATAATAAATCCGTATGGAGTCGGTATCACATTTATATGATTTTTTATGTAATTTTTGCTTCAACATTGTAAATAATTTTGTTAATTATATATATATATATATATATATATATATATATATATATATATATATATATATATATATATAATCAGAATTAAAATAAAACAAATACATAAAAAGAAAAGTAAAAAAGAAAACCAAATAAGAATCATGTTGAAAAACCAAAATCCAAAATCCAAAATCATGGTTGTGGTCTTGTGGATTTCCTAATCCAAGCGTATAAAAATCATAACTATGATCTTGAGAAAAACAAGTTAATTAGTTAAGTTGACCGGTGGTTTCCAAAGGGTATAAATGGAAAAACATAATTTTATCAAGTGGATTGATAAAAAAAAAGTTCCCAAATGTTTTTGCTGTTAAAAAAAAGATAAAGGAAAATATAATTGTTCTGGAATTCTTGATACAAATACTATCAAACTGGAATTGCCAACTTGTTTCCATAAAAGACATCATATTAATTCCAGAGAGCCCTCCTTCAAAAACACCTGTAGAAGCATAATTCAATTTTGAGTCAACTTTGACACCTTTTGACCATTGCTTTCATTTCAATATCATTCATGACGAAATTCCAAAATCATTCGCATTATTCCATGTAAAAGTGCGGATCAAAACTTCCAGACACCCAAAAAAACCCGAGTGATAGACAAAGAAAAGATGGCAGAAGATGAAAACAGAACGCTTGAAGTAACACCAACATGGGCAGTCGCTACTGTCACTTTCAGTTTAATCGCAGTTTCAATTCTCATCGAACATGTTCTCCATCTATTAGCAAAGGTAATCAATATACTCATATGCATACATCTCTATTTTCAAAGTCAAAAGACGAACATGGACCGATACTGTGTAAACTGAACCAGTACTTCAACAAGAAACGAAGGAAACCTTTGATCAAAGCACTTGATCGGATTAAATCAGGTAATGTAATTTGATCAGAACAGAATTGCGATCACCATGATCAAAGCTAAAAGATGAAAAAAGATGGGAACTTTAGTTTAATTTGGCGAAAACTTGCAGAGATGATGAGATTAGGGTTCTTATCGTTGTTGCTGATTGTGTGTGAGGAGTCTGTCGCTAATATCTGTATCCCAAAGAGCGCTGGAAAAAACTTTCTACCTTGTGAAGATCATGAATTTGATGCCGAAGAGGCAGCGAAATGTGCAGATCAGGTTTGATTCTATAAAATCATAAACGGTTTTTTCTTTGGTATATTAATTAGTTTCTAATAGAAATGCGAATGATTTATAGGGGAAGATATCTTTGATTTCAAGAAATGGAGTACAACAACTTCAGTTCTTAATATCGATTCTTGCAATCTCCCATGTCATTTCTAGCATCTTAACATTCAGTCTTGGTATGCTCAAGGTACCTCTACTCCCCTTTTCCTTGTTAAGGACATAACAGTCATTTCACATATCGTTGTTAAAAAATAGTATTGAAAAGAGGAAGGGAAGTTGTAATTGAAGTTCTTTAAACATGGGTTGACTTCATTTCATGCATTTTTTTGACCAAAATTTGACGTGTGTTCACTCATTCAGATGAGAAATTGGGAGGCTTGGGAGGAAATAACTAGAACATTGGAGTACAAATATTCAAACGGTATTAAATCGTCTTTATTTCATAGTTAATACTTAATCTTTAGTAAGCAAATATTCCTAGTTTCTTGGTAATCTAGTTTCAAGATACAAAATATATTGACTTTGAGGTCTAATGAGCTAGTCTTAATATCACCTTTTTGGTGCAAGTTTTATCAAATGAAAAGGATAAAAAGGTATCATGTTAGGACATGCTAAATTTGGATTTACAAAATGAAAATTTTGCTATAAAAGAACAACAAAAAGAAAAGAAAAAAAAGGGATTTGGGTAAATGAAAATATTTCCTTTTCCTATCTAGATCCACGAAGGTTCCAATTTGTTCATCAAACATCATTTGGAAAGCGACATCTAAGGTTTTGGAGCGGACTCAGGTTGTTTCGTTTGCCGGTAAGTTTTATAAAAGTAAAAGGTTTCCCATATATATTTGCAAACAACCGATTTTATTTATTTATTTATTTTTTTGAAAAAACAACAGAAAAAAGAACTAAAATTTATAAGAATCTACACTAAAAAACTATCACCCATTTTATTTATATTTTCAGGCTAGTTTTCTTCGACAGTTCTATGGATCTGTCTCCAAAGTGGATTATTTCATCCTTCGACATGGATTCATTATGGTATTGCACAACCGAATGTAGAATATAATATTTATCCAACATAAGTAAATAACAAACAACCAAATTTATATCTTTCTTTTCCCATTGTTCTTCCCATGTAGGCTCATTTTGATGAAGAAACCACTTTTGATTTCCAGAAGTACTTGCGAAAAGCATTAGAAAAAGATTTTGGCGTAGTTGTAGGAGTAAGGTACATAAACTAAACCTAAGATCATCTTTAATCCATGACATGACATGACAAAACATGTTGTACTGAATTAAATTTGAAAAAGTCAATAGATTGAGAAGTGGGACCAAAGTTAATGGCACAAAATTGCATTATTCTTTTATCCCGTGCAAAAAAGTAGGATAGAGACTCGGTCTTAATCTCTCATCTGTGTAAAAGACGTGAATACCCTTCACATCCACATGATAAAAAATAGCTCTAAAAAACTTGTCCAGTCCGTTCTAGTTCAGTAAGGTGATGTCATGTCATGTCATGTCCTAGAGATAATCTTATTGTTTTTATCTTGTTTTTGCAGCCCTTGGATTTGGGCTTTCTCAATGCTATTCATTTTCTTGAGTGCTGATGGTAAGATCGATATCCAATCTAGAAAGTTCTTCGAACACAAGAACTAGAATAAGAAATTACTAACTTGTCCTTTTGTTGATGCAGAATTTAAATACTCTTATTGGATTCCTTTGATGCCTTTAGTGGTACGGAAACTTGAAAAAAAAAACAAAAACTAAATTGACTTTTGAGGTCAAATTCATCTTGAAATATGATAGGATATGGATTTGCAGGTATTGTTGGTGGTTGGGACAAAACTACAAGGCATTGTAACAAAGTTGTGCTTGGATACAAATGATAAATCCCTTGTTGTTAAAGGAACTTTAGTGATTAAGCCAAGTAATAACTTCTTCTGGTTTAAAACTCCAAAACTACTTCTCCATCTTATTCACTTCGCTTTAGTTCAGGTAAACTTTACTTTTAGAACATAATACTCAAACTTCCCTTTATCAAACTACATGTGAAGCTAATATTATTTTGTCTATGCAGAATTCTTTTCAATTGGCATTCTTTGTTTGGACTTGGGTAAGCATCGTAGTCAACTTTTGTTATAACATCATATAATCTTTATGTCACAAGTTTTTTAATTTCCTTTATTTCCCCTGGTTGTCAACTTTTATCTTAAAAAGAGATCTTGTTGCCAATTTATAGTAAATAAAAAAAGGAAACTTAATTATATGATCCATAGAAGTAAAACGTGGAGCTTATATATTTGATTTATATAAACAGCATAAATTTGGACTGAAGTCATGCTTCCATCGAGAAACTTCGGGAATTGTCATACATATTGGTAGTGGGGTTGTGGTTGAGTTGCTTTGTGGGTATGTAACGTTGCCACTTTATGCATTGGTTACTCAGGTAAAAATGATAGTGTGGTTGATCAAGATTGTCTCTTTTTGAAACACTACTAAGATTTTATTGGTTTTCTTTTGTTTTTTAGATGGGAACATCAATGAGGAAAGCTCATGTTTTCCCACAGGAAGTGATACGAGGACTCCAAAGATGGAAAAAGAAAGCAAAGGCAAACATAGCTCAAAGATACAAGACTTCACTCAAGTCTTCAACTATCATTGGTGGTTCCTTATCACTGGGGTTCGATGGAGAATTTGATGAAATCACAGTCGTGGATGAAGATGATGAGGATGTTTCCATGGAGATCCAACCTGATAGTTTTCATTTTAGCCATCGTTCACAATGAGTTTATTGTGAGTTTAGAAATATGTACAAAAAATTAGATCATCATTCTACTAATAGTTTTGAAACATTTCTAATATATTAATTAGATATGTAATCTAAAAAGTAAGATAAAAATGTTGATGGTCAACTTAAGTAGGTCCAATCTATTTTGGATTTTGACATGTTAATTTCTTGGAAATTTGAGTAATCTAAACTTTTATAAAAAATCTTTTTGACAAAAATGACCATAATTTTTTTTTTTGGTAAAATAACCACATTCTTCGGAACACGTTGTTCCGGAGATGTCTTTGAATTCCGGAGTACGATTACGGACTATGGTTTTGGAATAGATTTGACCTTTTTTGCATGTATGTTTTGCTTTTATAAAATGTATAAGTTTTGCTTTCTTAAAATGTATACATTTTTGGTTTTATAAAATATAAAATGCAATTAAAATGAACAAGCAATTAATTAATACATAAACTAAGCAAATGATATGTCTGTAGGTCATACTACAAATACGATTTTCAAATTATCTTTGTTATTGTATCCCAAAATATCCCTGCTAGTCGTTTCTATAACCCATAGCCATAGGACTGGTGGTTTTACCCTCTATAGACTTCGATTTCCCGGTGATCAACGCTTTTAAGAACCAATACAAAAACACCCCACAATCCACTCTGCTGTCAATCTGTTGCGGTACATCTGGGGCCTTTTCGAGGGTCACCTTGAAGCTCTCAAGTGAAATTGAATCAGTTGATTCGATACCCTAGCAATTGACTTCCACTAACAATTTGTGGATGCGGGATCTCAGACCTATAAATCAATCCTCATTTTCCGAACAGTAGCCGACCTTCCAATGACTATCGTATATAGTCATTTTGAATGTCTCCAAATCCAAAGAACCCCAAAAGCAATGAGCTTGTGTTATGGTTATTGGGATGTAAAGCTACAAAAAGGTTAGAAATAATTAATTAGTATATAAATACTCAGGTAATGTAATCCAAACAAAATTATACCGTATCACATTCTGCCCAAGTTGGGTAAATGGATCCGTCAACCATGTCACTCTAGTCACATGTATTAGTGTTGAAAGCTGACGACACAACCGTCCATTGAGCATCACCCTCTCTACGCTCTAGCAACAATGAGATCTACTTCATGATGTGCTACCAATTATTTTTTTTTACAGTAAAGTAAGTATTATTATTAAAAGCATAGTATGTAATAAGCAAATAATTATATTACTTACATCACATGACAACCATCCTCCATAACTATCCGCATATAACCGCTTCCAAAACTCAAGCGTAGCAAAACTGGTCAAATAATTGTGAGCAAACAACAACGAACCATCCTATTCTTAGAAGAGTGGATGTTCACATTTTGAAAAGAAATAAGAGTCCTAATGGCATATAACAAATAACATATAACTCTAAGCACAATCCTCCCCCTAAGAGTCCAAAGCAACCTAGCTGAACCAATCTACACTGTGAGTCTGAACACCAGTATAACACCAGCCTCTGTATTCAGTTCGCTCACAACATGACTCTAATACCAACTTTTAACATCATGATTTTTCACCCAATTTTTTTAATATTTTAAACAAATTACGTTTGCGGAAGACTTATTATGAATATTTCAAAAACATCACCAATGTTTCTTTTATGTCAAAACAAGCCCATCAAAATTTAAAGTTTACAAAAACAGTATGATGAAAACCTAATATGTCCAAATGGTATCATATCTAAAGGTACTAAATAAGACTACGCAAAAAAAGTTGTCATCCTCACCAAGGCATCATGTCAAGTTATTTGTTCCATTGCATAACAATCAACAAGGAAAGAACAAGTGTTACCATAAGCTAAGTGAGTCAATTACAAACAATGTTAAAAGAACACACATATCATAAATGAATCACACAACACATTCCCACACAACCAAAGACCCACAAGCTAGACATAACAACATCACACCACATATAAAACACTGTTTAGCTCAATTAATTTTATTCTTCTTTTAGAGCTTTTTTTAGATTACTCTCCTCAACCACGATGTAACTAATTTTCTATATTTTCACCGCTATGATATTATTACATAATATTTTTGTCCGCTTTATTTTAATAATTACTCACCGCTTACCATCACTATAATTATTAAAGTAATACTTCATAGTTAGGGTCTATTTATTCACCGCAAACCCCAATGCAAGTACCCCATTCGCTGTTAACGTAACCGACACGACCCAATGCACTAGGTGAGGCGCGACTCTCACCCGTAATCATTGCTCTTGGCGCACTGTGTTTTCTGCTCTGACTTTTCACATATGTATACATGCGTTATCGTTAAGGTTCGGTTCAAGCAATGCCAATTACACCGCATTACACCTCCCAAATCCCATGTGATATTTACCCCGACTTTCCTCGTAGATCCAACATAACTCCATTTCACTTATCTTTAGGTGAACCATGTGTCAAACTGGTCGTCTGGAATAACCATTTGACTGGCTTTCATCGTAGAGCCAACATTAACTGGCTTTCCTAGTAGATTCACCCCTAACCAACTATCCTCGTTAGGCCGACACTACTTGGCTATTGTGCCAACCCAAACCTTTTTCCATTAACGTCAACCGATTTCGTTAAATAAATTTTGAATTTTTATTTAGTTCCGTCAAGTTCTTAGGGTTTGGAAAATCATTTAAGTTATATGTTCAAACTTTATATAAGAGTCGAAACCAAAATCGCACGAAAAACCCGAGTTTTCTTTGAAAATCAGCTGTTTCCGGTCCAAGTGGTGTTTACGGCCGTGAACCTGATCATGGTCGTAAACCGTTCACGGCTGGACCCCACCACCGACCATACTCCCAGCCTATAAATACGTGGTTCCTACCCTCATTCATACTTTTCTGGCAGTAAACACACTTTCTCTCTCTAAAAACCCTCACCCGAAAACCCAAGATTTCTCAAGTTTTCTCTTCATCTATCAATCCATCCACATTAAAACACGTTTTGGAGCATCAAACACTAGCTTTTTCGTCGATTCAAATATTATTGTTCTTGAGTTCACGACCGTGAACCCTTCAAATCTTCATATTTCACCAAGAACAGGATGTGAACCCTTCAAATCTTCAAAGACCGTAAACCCTTCAAAGGCAGTAAACTGTTCATGGCCGAGAATAGTTCACGGCTGTTCTCGGCCGTAATCCCATCACGGTCGTAATCAGCCCTGCACCGTGAATCTTGGCTGCAAACCCACTTTTCCAATTCGATCAAGCCTCGGTAAAATTCTTTAACCGAAAGCAAGTGTTTTCCTAACACTTTATCTAATGAAATCACTAATTTTAGATACAAATATGTGTTTAATTATTGGATTTCGTTAACTTCGCGTACAACTTGAGGGTCCTCAATTCCAGTCTCGTTGTCTGGCACATACATGCAATCATCTATGAGTTCATACTCCTATGCTTTTATTATTTTAACATTTTAAGGGGGTGGGAGGGGGGGGGGGGGGGAATACAAGCAAACACAAATAGTTTTTAATAAACTTTATATACAAAACCTCTATACGATTAAAACTTATGCAATTGATACAAATAAAAGATCACCTGTTTTTATAAAGTATTTGAGATATTTTATCCCTTTTGTAACATACTGAGCATAAGGGACACTTTCGAACTATAGTCATAATTGTATAGTTTTTTGATCAATACATGAACCTAGTACATAACCTACATGTGAACTATAATAGGTATAATTTGGGATTTCAACATATTGTTTTACAAATTCAGAACTTATACATTATCAAACATATAAACTCTGACAGATTTAGTTTATGATATACATTATTACTTCCGGATTTCAAGAGTACTACATCGAATAATTATTTAAGGATAATTATTATTACTTTTCAAGGTTTATAAGCAGATTCAAATATAAGAGAACAATACATAACCACATGTAAACTAGTTAATACAGAATCGTGTGACAACTCTTCAGTTATACTTGTCAGGATACGGGCTAAATCCTATCCTTTAGTGTAACCGGAGTCTTCTGGAGGGAGAGCGTAAAATTTGTGAATAGATCTATTTGGGAATGACAATCCCACACCTAAACTGCTAGCTACAGTTAGGTAGTCATGCATGAGGTGACAAATATCATACCGTCCGACGCCTGAAGAACGTCGTAGAGGTCATCATTCATATCAAGCATGGTTATATGACTCACAATAGTATAAACTAACCTTTTGTTTACGAGATTTCATTCTTCATTAGTTTTATTTTAATTAATAGAACTACTATACCATACACTGGAGGATTCCATGGATACAGTTCATGGTTTTATTTTAAGAAATGAAACTACTATACATACTGGTGGTAACCAGGGTTTTCAAAAAGAACATTCTATACATACTAGTGGTAACCAGTGTTTTCAAACCAAACATTCTATACACTATTGGTGGTAGCCAGGGTTTTCATACAAAAGAGTTTTCATTTAAAGTAACGATATACAATACTGCTGGTAGTAACCAGGCATGTAACTAATACCTTACGGAACACAGTAACAAACACATATGTTAGAAAATATTTGATTTTCTTGGAAAGCATACAAACATTTTTATATAGATTCGATGATAGGTTTTCATTACAAAGACATCCTTATTAACTCACCAACTTAATGCTGATACTCTTTAAAAATCGCTTGTATTCTCAGGAAATTAGTAGACAGGTACTCCAGCAGGCTTTTTTTTGGAAGACGGAGCGTATAGAGTCACGTATTTTATATTTTGTTATATTTTTTATGTATACAAACTATGTATCAAATAAATGTAAATACCTATATTTTAATGCAATGGTTGTGGTTTACTTTGATTACTATGATGCAATTATTGTGATACTGTACATGACATCCTCCACCCCCGAACGTTTCCGCTGTGTCGGTTTGGGGGTGTGATAGATTGGTATAAGAGCTATTGTTTATAGTGAACTAAGTATACCGAACCTTACATGATGTACAACTATAAACACTAAGGGGTTGAAGTGCTCTGAACTAAAAGTATACGTTTAAAATATAAGTATCTTATATGAAGTATACAAGTATACATACATACCAAAAACAGTATCGCAAGCAGAACAAAACAAAAGTTTTTGGATGTTGGACACTACAGTTTAACCTGGATAGTTATGTAATCATGTATGG